GAAATGAACACTACTTTGTAAGTTTTGCAGAGAGTGTTTGTGTTCAAAGACACTCTGAGGCAAGAAAACATGGTAGTAAATTACATGCAACTTCAAAAATGCATGACAGGATTTTGACACAAAATGGAATACACTACACTGAACATTCTGAGTGCTACATTATCAAAATATTGCTATTTGCTTACAGTAACCAAAAAAGATGCTGTTTCAGGAAAAAAGGAAACCTAGCTACCTATTTCCTAAAACATATATAAAACACAAATATACCTACCAACAACTGCCAAATATTTGCTATTAATGCTATATCTTATAACTCTGTCTTTAATAACTGGGATATAATAGGCCCTTAAGTGTTTGCTTAAAAAATCTTCGTACCAGCAGTGCTGTTCTTGAATACTATGGTGGGACATCAGTGACTATAAGACGCTTATAGTAGAAAACAATAAACATCAAACGGAAACGTCTCTGGTGCTAGAACATGTTATATACATGTGTGCATAGTGTATCAATGTGTGTGCACATGTTTATATATATATCACATATCAATCACTCATATATATATATATATATATATATATATATAAATCTTATGCTATGGATCAGTGATTTGCAAACTTTCCTTCTTGCAATATATAATAAGACAAAGATCTTATATCATGACTTAATACACACTCAGAATTTTCTAAAGCAATCCAACTGTATGTACTACTCCCAAACTCTTCTCCCAAGCAGAGGGTGGCCACCTGGAGTGATAACAGCAGATCTTTATTTGAAGATGTTCAAGAAGGGACTCACTCCCTAGCTTCTTTGAAAAGACTTTCTAAATCTAAAGGAGCCTTGGAATCTAAATAAGCAACATAAACAGGATCATATGAATAGAGAGCAGCTGGTGAAACATTCAGGCAGAGGCAAGAGAGGAAGCTGCAGACAGAACCTGGTGGTGGACAGGCAGCACAGGACTATGCTTCTAGATGACAGCTTCCTCCTCCCCAAACTAAGGACAACGCTTGAACACAGTGGCCTTTTATTACTGTCTCATGTGTGAAATTGAACCTCCATAGACCCATTCCAGAACTGAACTAAGTTAGCTTCTCAGAGGCCCTTAAGACAAAAAGAGGGCAAAAATAGAACCTGCCTTGTCTTTCTGAGACGTATGTCCTGAAGTGGCCTGAGACCCCTCCAGTTCTCAAACCACAAATCTGGGTCATATCATGTATTCCTGCATCAGGTATCCCAGCATTTCACATGGAGGCAGGACATGTATCTCAACACCTGCTTTTAATAATGTTGCATCAGTTCAACCATTATTTTTCTAAAATTGGGAGAAGAGGCTTAATGTATTAGGACACAACCAATAACTGAGTCTGTTTTATCATTTTGATTAGTAGCATTCGATAAATGAAAATAAAGGGCCCCTATGTTCTTTATGTGTATTTCAGGGAACTAAAGGCGTAAGGATGCTGCACTGCTTTATTGGAGGCAATCCCACATCCGTTTGGTTTTCATATGTGCATGGCTTCCTAAAATAGAAATAGTCTTATTTGGCTCTATGCTATTTATTTCCACAAAGGAGGAGACTCAGAACTTTTAAGCTATAATAGGTTATCTTGTCTTTGTCTTTTTGCACCTTTATAGTAACGTAGAAAGAAAAGTACGTACAAGGGCAAAAGAAAGACTAAGCTTAATTACAAAGTTTAAAAGCAAAAAACTCAAATAGCAGATTATTAGAGAAAGAACACTTTATTCCTCTCACTTCAAAGTAAATCATTTATCCAAGAAAAAGCACAAATACTGTGCTCTTTTGTTTTAAAGTTACATCCTTCTGGGGCTGGGGATTTAGCTCAGTGGTGCTGCTGCCTGCCTGCCTCACAGGCACAAGTTCCTGAGTTCGATTCCCAATACCATAAATAAATAAATAAATAAATAAAGTTCCATCCTTCTTTAGTGAAAAACTGGAATCTTGGATTCAACGTAAGTTGACTAGTTTACTATTCATAGCCACTACAGGAATGCAACAAGCACATCAATTCATAAACAATTATGTCAAATGAAAATTCCGCAGTGATCCTTCTGACACAACACTTACGAACTACAACCAGGTTTTCTAAATCCTTTGGTGCAGAAAAAAGTAACCATAACAAGCAAGACAAACAAAGTTGCATTACTCATGTACAATGTAAAATGATCCAGCATCATTACTCTGGAGTAGGGATGACAATGCATAATCAAACACACTGAGCAAGGCATCAGTGAAAATGATTGAATATGCCAATGTCCTAAGACTCCATTTACATGTGTTTTAAACATTAGAGTTTGCAAAGCACTTACATCCATAAAAATCACTTGACTCTATCTTTCAGTTTAAATACAACTAAAAAAAATGGGAGTCCATGTGTATAGGAGAAGCTATGTACTGAAATATTCTCTGGAGCCAACTTCCCTGAGTAATATTATTTTTACCCCTCAGTTTCATTGTCTGTAACGTAGCAATAACATTTTCCTACTTGTTGGGACTACTACGGATTAAACACATTAATATATTTCAAGTACCATTAGACACCAGATAATCATTAGACACATGCTGGTTATCAGCAACATCACTGTATAGTACAAAAACTGAAAGCAAAAATCCACAGAGCCAGAAACAAAAACTAGACCTTCTTCTTCCAGTTGATGCTTCAGGTACAGAGGAACGGGTTTTGTTTTTTCAAGTAGCTTGTTTTCTAGACTGAGTTAGAACTCTTCAAATAAAAAATTCAACAGTTTAACACATTTAAAAATCATATCTAATCTATGTTCATATATATAATTTAAATCGATTATAAAAAATAAATGTTCCATTTTCAGGACAGTACTATACACTAAGGAACAGTTATCTCTGTTTCTGTATTTGGAAAACAAAAATCTTTTGTTTCACTTTTCAAAAGACAGACAAAAAAGGCACAAGCCTATCGTATCATATGATAGCATGATATTTCCTCAAATTCTTTATGAAAATAAATCTACATAAAAAGAATAAGATAGTGGTGACAACTATATTAAGGTTTCCTTTTGCTTCTAGTTTTAACATTTAGTGTTGTGATGCAGCATTTGTAATTTTAAAAATAATTTCTAAAACAAAGTGTACCAAGATTGAAAATTGTATTGGTAGAAGAAGCACTCAAATTAATTCCAGAATACAATAAAAATCCAACTTTTTCCCTTCAGCAATTTAGGTGACTGCAATAACATCTTCCACTGTGTCTAAAAATAGGGCATGGGTGTGTAAATTTATGAGTTGAAATGCAAAACTGGCACAGGATGTCTAAATCGGAATGTTAAATCATTTAGTACACGCTAGTATAGAAACATTTTAAGCATTGATTTCCACACACTTCATATATACATACAATTTCAATTCAGACATCTTTATTTTTCTCATAGTGAAGAAATGTGAGGTTGTGATCTTCATTCTCAAATATGCTAACTCGCTTCTTAGGAAATTAACCTTGGGCAAAGCAACTCTCCACTCCAGGCTGCTTCTCTGAACAAGAGCTGACCAGAACATTGACAGTTCCCAACCTTCTTTCCTCCCCAGCCCATCTGAAGGATTCGCCTTTTCAATTCCAGTCATGCGGAGAGCAAAAATGGAAATATGGAAGGGGACAGTATCTACAGGTGATTTTATACACTGCCCTAGAAGCTGTTCTCCCGCTGGTCCCCTCCACGACCCCACCGCAAACTTCCCAGAGGTTCCACAGCTCCGAGGCCTGCCACTTTAGGTCAGGAACATTACACCCCAAAGATCTGACAGTTATCTGATAGTGTTACTTTAACAGACTTAAAACAGAAGCCCAAAAGTTGGCATACATCTTCATTTGCTGAAACAGGCAAGATTCAAACAAGATTTTATATAGACGACATCCAAGAGGGCTTTATAACTGTTTTTTTGGCAGACAGTATATATGACGTGGAATTGGCTTCTAACCAAGAAGGTGGATAAAAGGAGAAAAACTGGAGAACCAATCAAAATAAACCACCCTAAGGTGTGAGAAAATAGTTTGAATGTGTGATTAATGTGATCTGTGTAAGTCAATTGCCTGACACCAGAAAAGAGAAGCCAAAATTAAACACGTATGTGAAGGTGATCCCCAATTTCTTCTTCAAAATATCAAATCCGTCACAGGCTCAACATCAGTTTTAATAACCAATAATTACTAAAAAAAACCTGGACATATGCCATATTATAAATATAAAAGTCAAATATACTGGCTCAGCATGGTGACTAAGAATCACAGCATGGTGTTTTACAAATGGGTGTCCATCTTGCTTTGAATGTCCACTTCCTATGGATGAACTCCACAGTACCTAAGACCTACTGTATATACAAAGTTATCTTAAATAGTAAAGAATAAACACGACCTGTCGATTTAGTATGTGTACCAAAAAAAGAAAACAAAACAAAACAAAAACTGGCTGAGTCTAAAAGTTGCTGTCCTCTGTACCGAAAGATGCCAACAGTGGTGAGTCAAAAATACATGTCTATCAAGGCTCTAACTCTGTTGCACTTGGTTAAAAAGTTGATAAAAAATTTGGTAAGCACGCTTTTTTCTGAAATCAATTATAAAAACACATTGTCCATTGTTAGCTTAACCTGCTGAAAGCACTACCAGATAAGTCTATGTTTCCAATATGGACTAGAACTGTAAAGCCTAAAACTTAGGTAAGTGACCAGACCAATAGGTCAACAAGAAATAAAAATGAAGAAAAAGAAATGTCAAAAGCCCAATTTTGAAAGATTTTCACCTCTGAAATGGTTGCAACAGATAACACAAAGGGCAGAAAATTCTTTAAACAGAGTTGGGATATTTGTTGAATGAATACATATTTCTTTCCCTCTCTCTATACCTATGTGTCGAAGCATCAAAACAATTTAATTTGTGGCTGTTTCTGTTGTGTCTCCAACTTCACATATAAGTTTATTATGAGGAAAAAAAACAAACCTGTTTGGCCTGACTCACCATGAATCACGGCCAGGAGGTCATCTTGTTGTGTATCAGCAACTATGTTTTCACTACAGCTTTGTGACCTGAAGTGGCAGCAGCCGAGGCACCAAAATAGAAGGGGCAGGAGCCTTCTTCTGGTTTCTCAGTCCCAAATGGTCTTTTCCAGCCCATTCTGGCAAGGAGCAAGAGCCAACCGCAGAGCACAGAAAGAACCACCCCGACAGCTCTGAGGAGAAAGGCTGCAGGCCCACCACACCTTTCTTGCCCTCCTGGGGAACCCGGGGAAGCTAAAGTATCAAAGAGGGCAGGCTCGTGAAACATCATGGTGTAACCTTAGCATGACAAGGGTCAAAACCAGCCAGATGCAGGGCAAACCCTGCCGCGACCCTGAAGAAGAGATACCGGGAAGGTCTCGACGCGGAGGAGGATCGTTCACCCCGGATCAGAGCCCAGCGCCGGCGCAGTCGCGCAGCGGCCCGGGTCTCCACGCACCCCCGATCCCCGATACCTGCCCTGTTCCCACTCACCTGTCCGCCGCCCGCGGGCCG